TTCATGGTACAACCAATGTAAGAAAAAATAAATACAAGGGAATCGGTGATTAGGTGAGGGGGATAACTCAAAATAAGTTGATTTGATTAAGGTGATTTTTAACTACCTTGAGCATGATTTGTGGGGGAAGGGGGTGGTGACAGGGGAATGGACGAGTAGTCTATTTCTTTTAGGGGCTCGCACATCCTAGATATGCCAATGCCTAGCATACCCTGCAATTTACCCTACAGTCCACCACTGTTAAGGGTCCCGGTCCACTGAGCCGCCGGTAGTTACGCCACTGCCTTTATGCACAAAGTATCAGCTGGCAAGTGCAGAGTCTACCCTGAGTAGACACAACCTTTAAAGTTACTAAGGATATTAAATATGAACGTAGGTACTACCTCAGCACGACCATGGTGGGCTTGATAGCATTTTGAAAATATGGCATTTCTAAATGCCCAGCAGCAGCTGGCAACCCGTAAAGCAGCTCTCTCTATTCAAACCCCATGCATGGGGAAAATGCACGATTTAAAGTTAGTGGAGGTCTTATCAGGGCCGGTTCGACAAATTGGCCAAATAGTTGAATGTTTTTTTTAAATATTTATAGCTCTAAACATTTTAAAATCAGTCTTATTTACTAAAATTAAAGATTGTCAATAAAATTGAAGTGTACATAGGCAATACAAAAACAAACGCATTGTATTTGTTTGTTTAAATATAGAACGTTAAAAATACAATGTTTCGACGGTCCTCAGACTATACTATTGCAAATTCTCCATAAAAATTTTTTTTAAAAATCAGTAAATGTTTTGCTATGACCTGTTAACTTTGGTTCTAATAATTTAGTTACTCATCCCCAATTTGATACAGTAAGTGTATTTCAAAAAGTACATGGACAGTGCACACTGCAAAACCGACATCTGGGATTCGAAATCTACTGGTCTCAAAGACTAACAAACAACGGTATAAAAAAAAACCTTGAATAGAAGCTCTGGGATTCTTCTCTTTTTAGCGAAATTTTGATAGCCTTCTTTTCGAGATGGGCTTTTTTCGAGCCTACTTTTGCATTGTAAAATAGGGGCTTCTTTTCAAAATGAATGCTGTAAATTTTGGGAATTACTACAAAAACACAATAAATAAGTTTGATGCATATCAAATAACTAATAAAAATTTACCAAAATTCGTCAAATCTCCGTAGCTTCCAGGGGGCGAACCCCCTGTGGCTCTTAGGCGGCTGCCCCACCACCAGGCAAGTGAGGCTCGCTTCGCCCGAGATGAACTAGCAATATGCCTACTTTCCCCAAGCTAACACATTTTCGACCACAGCAAGCAACACATAGCTGACTGCCCTGGGGGTTGCCGGATACTAAAATGCAAAAACAGATGTAATTAAATAAAACATGAGTTATGAATACAAACAATTCAATATGCTACGTATTATGTTAGAGAAGCAATCTTTATAAAATTAACAAACCGGTCGTTGGACAGGGATGCAGGCAGATTTATTCTACCCGCCGTATGGAATAACATCACCAAAGAGCAGAAGGAAGCGTGGGGTAGGGGAGGCCGTGGTCAGTTGTTAGAAAATTTACATATTGTTCCTTAATTACGTAATTGAATGAGACAAACACACCTTTTCTATTCTAATGCAAGAACAGTATATTGGTTACAGGGCCGTCGGGAACCGCGGATAAAGCCAGCCCTGATTACTTGCTATTCTTGGTTGCCAGATGCTATTTTTGGGTATCACAGATGCCATAATTTCATAATTAGTTCACATCATGCATGCTGTTTCTGCCCCTTGCTGGAGAGTGGTGTTTGGCTCTATAATTGCCAGTTGCTATTTTCGGGCATCCCAAAATTATAATTTTAGACTACAATAGTATTAGGAACAGCAATCATAATAACGTCTTTGATTGGATTTGAATATTAATTTAGTCCGATGACCTCGCCATGGTGTCAGACGAGTGGTGGTGGGGATGTCGAGATTTGTAACGAGTTGGCGACCCGACAAAATCAACAATTCCAATGCAATGCAAAGCAACGATAACTAAAATTAAATCAATACCAAAAATGCCTATACGCTACAACCAAAACCATCAAATTTTTGCCCAGCTTTTTAGTCCCCGTGCTCAATGAGAAGATATGGCTTTGCTCTCTGGAAGTATTACTATTTTATAGGCCTAAGACTAAATGTAGCAACCCAAATTAGTCTATACCAAATCGAAACTACTGATTTTTCTTGGAGCTTTTTCCATGCACCATTACCGGGGCCTTTATTTTCCAGTGATTCCAAATTGGACTCACTTTAAACAAAGTTTCATCTTCATCATCATCATCATCATCATCATCATAATTATTTCATATTTTTTCTGGGCATCCAGGTAAACAAAGTTTCCACGGTATGACCACTGAACCCCTGTAAAACTAGCCACATTTAACAACATTGTGCCCCTTCCCATGCACTCTTTTACAAAAAAAACTGGATAGCCCTTGAATGTTAGTGCTCTGTCTATGTCACCTGTTAGATATGTACATGGAGGTATCTACATGGTCTGTCTGAGTGTAATCGCTGTACGGTCTACCAGAAGAAAACACAGGATTTAATTACAGCATTTTAATAATTCAAGTAATAGTATAACTGACCTGGAGCGTGATAAATAATTGATTATGCTTCAGAATGAATTTGGTAAGTGTAAATTAAATTGTACGAGCAGTAAGTTTGTCGAAACACAACGTTATTTGTGTAGGTATTGGAGGCCTATTGTATTTCCATAGATAATTCATAGCATACTGCATCATGTGTATACATAGAACATGTTCTAGGCCTATTTAATTAATTGCATAGGCCTATTCCTATTTCTCAATACTGCACGTTGTGTAGATATAATTACAGTTATCATTGTTATTCCTTCAGTTATCATTGTTATTCCTTGTACATATTCGTGTTTCCTGCACTTTATTTATTAATGGAGGAATAAGCAACTCAATTACATTTTAAACAATATATCATTTTCGCAGTAGACCTAAATTTATCTATTTCCATGATTTAAAATAATCTTACGAATTGTAATTTGGTCAATGCTACCACATTCTGTGTCCAGATATAGCATTTTTAACCTGGATGCTTTTTTCTGTGCCCACTCTTTAGCATCATGGGTACAGGGCATAGGCCTTTATTATTATCTCTATTTTGTCTTTGAGTCATACCAGTAAGAATATGATGCCCTTTAAAAAAATCTTCCTATTAGTATTATATATGGGAGAGTACATCATGAACATTATTCACACACCCTCAAGCCTGCAATGGGAATATATTCAAGCCACAAAACTTAGAATATGGAATATAGTGCACGCTGGGAGCAAATATTTCAATATAGATAAATTTAGTAAATGTACGATGTACAGTATATATTGTACTACATATTTTCATAACAATAACTATGTAGGTGCCATAAGTTTCAAAATTTGCTCACCTTGGCCCAAAAAATATAGGGTAGAGGTGGGTATATCGCTAGTCCCCACTAACTTTAAATCTTTGTCTGCCAATAGACGAGATGGGGAGGGGTGGTGGCTATACAGGTTTTCCAGCTTGTATTTCCAGGCATCCAGATGTAGGCCTACCATATTTCCAACATAGACTCTCCGTGCTAATTTTATTAGGCTTTGAGGAGAGGGGCTAGCGGCTCTACAAATTATCAGCATTTATTTCCGGGCATTCATAGTTGCAAAAAAGTTGTTCAACAACCATGATGAGGCTGATAGTGGATGCTCAGCACCCTGCTAACTTTTACAACAAAATTTGATTAGTTCCCCCACCCCCGCTCTGACTATAATGGCCGGACCACTTGCAAAATGCTTCCGACGGCTATGATTGGTTATAAAACGAAGCAATTACAACTGTCATATATCAATCCGTTAATTAATCAATAATTAAGTAATGAAGTAGATCAACTGTAACAAATTACCCCTGGTCCGGGGTATATTGTTACACCATGTGGGGCAAGTTGTTACATTGTACAAACTAGATAGAATGTTTAAAATATGCAAACAAACATGCTTTAAAGTGTATAAAAGAGACAACAACATTATTATTCTAGCCTTATGGTTAACTGTAAGACCGCACTATAATGCTTTTTAACTACTCAACAAAACAGTCAATCAGAAATGTCCATTTCTTCTTCTTTACAATGATCGCACGTGTAAAGTGCCCCTCCTTCGGTACACTCGCTATATGACCAATCTTGTTACAGTAACAACGTACCCATAACAACTTACCCCACGTGCTATTTTTATATTGAAACACAGATAGTTCTGCATATAAGCAGAAATGTGTGGTAATGGCCTATGAAAGTGTTAGGTAATGGCCATGCTTCACATAAATATATAAACTTTCTTTATTCATCTTCATGAGGGAAAGGTATTACAGAAACGGTTTGTCATGAAACATTTACTTTTGGGGTATATAAACAAACATTTTACTTACATTTCCTTTCAGGCATTCGGATCGTCACGCTAGGGCCGGCAGTGTTACAGCGGGCTATAATATGACACCGGTTAATACCTCCCTCTACTTTTCCTATTTGGGGAAAAGACCACTGTAACAATCTACCCCTGTAACAACTGACCCCGGTCTCCCCTACTAAAGAAATCCACTGACGGGAACCCCTCTGACGTAATAACAAGATCGGATGACGTTAGCGTGAACAAGACCACCACAGTGGTTGAAAGCTTGCAAGGTAATGTCTTAAAAATTATTCGGTGCTTGATGATAATGCGTGATAATGATAATGATAGGCTATGTTAATGCGTATTAATAATGATTTAATTGTCATCTGTACTAGTGTGTATGTGAAGAAAGTGATGAATATGATGACGATGATAACGATGAGGATGATAATAATAATGATGTTGATGATGGTGGTGATGACCTAATGTTTATCTTGTGAGCTACAATCCATGATCAGATTGCAGGAGAGGGACTATAGCACTACAAACACGACACAAGTCTGAATTGACTGGGGGCGCAAGTCAACCTGAAAACATCGAGGTGACGTCATGACCAATTATTTACCCTATGATTGGAATAAAAATAGTAGCCATGATTAGTGATCATTCGCCTGAAGAATCTATCTTGTGCTAGCGAAAGCTCGTGTTTCAAATAATTCACAAACAGTAAGTAAACCAAAAACCATCTCAAAGACGATCCTACATAATGCTTCTAACATCGTTGAAACATCGTAAGTATACAATGATTTGAACTTATTAATTTGTTTAATCACGACGGTGATTTATTAGTGGATAGCTTAAGTGTGGAACAGACAAGTACCAACCAAAGTAGATTTGTATAGAAAAAAGTAAACAATAATGGCTACCTGATGAAGAATTACCTTGGCTTATGATGAAGTTGATCATTGATTGTTTTTTTTTCACTTAATAGATCAGTTATCGACAGCCATTGAGTAGACAATCTAGTTAGCATGTTATTACTTGTCCCGATTATATATTGTGTATGCCTACATCATTTGACAAATTCCATCATCATTATTTTCTTATAAATATTCCTACTAATTGAACCATGGTTAAAAGAGAAAAGCGTGATCGTCCTTTTCTTAAAGATAAACTTAACATTCCTTTCTTGTTTTTTTCCTTTCATATAGGTTGAGTTTTTTTACATTTCTTTTACCAATTCTCTCAGCTCTTTGTTGTTTTTTTTTTTAGTTTTTGTTTCTTTAAAATTCTTTTTCTTCTCTTCATTTTTTTCATTTTATCATTTAATTTTTACTGCATAGCTTCCTTTTCGCTTCCTCTCTACCTTTCTGCTCTCTTCATTCTTTCTTTTTTTTTTGTCAATTCTTATTTTTTCTTCCATTTTCTCGTATGATTACAAATAATGGGTGCCATACGCAGCTAAAGTCTATGTTAAAATTCAATGTTTAATTTATCAAAACATAGGTCTAATTTCTTAAAATATAAATCTAGTTTCGCAAAACGAAGTTCTAATTTTTCAAAACATAGTTCAAATTTTCCAAAATGTGTTCTAATTTCTTTAAACATGGGCGATCCAAAGATTATCTGACGGGGTGGGGGTGTGGGGCACAGTAAGAAATCCACGCCGCCACGTCCACCTCCTCCCCACCATGGTTGGTCTAAATCAGTGGTAAACAATCGAGCTCTCCTTTCTTCGACTGCTGGATTGCCACTGAACTCATGATGGGTGCATTACATTTTCCCCTTTCCTCACTTTACTCAAATTGTTCTCCCTCTTTTTCATTTTTCGGCTTGACCGACCGAGGGGAAGGGGCCCTCATGACCCCTCCCCCGCTGGATCCGCGCCTGTTAAAATGTCATTCCAATTTTAAAACGTAGTTCTGACTTGATCAAACACCCTCTCCAAATTCTGTTCCAAATGTAAATCAAACCCCAACCCATGCATATGACTCGTTTGATTTACATTTTACAACGACAATTAGACATGCGAAATGTAAATCAAAACTAGCAAGCCAAGCATGACAGGGCCCGTTCCATCGATGATGGCGGAATCAACTTTCTTTGTAGTTCAATGCCGTGAACAACGCTTCACAACGCTTCTCTATATGCTCTTGGTACCGGCGATCACGGGCCTTATGCTAAGCTTGGTTCCAACTAGGACGCAACGCAACGACGCATACGCAACGTATCGACGCAAAGTGACGCAACGCGAGGGTTTTGCGGCTTCCAGCACTGATCGCTCGTAACTATAAAAGCTGGATTGCTCATCGGCCAATCCTGGTACAGAAAAAAGTGAGGCCTCCGACGCCATGTTGAAGGGCCTACGTGACGTACCAGTTTAGAAAAGTTTATTTTGGTATTTGTTGAAATTACAGTTGAAAATAACGATTCTTGCAATATTTTTCAATAATAAATTTATATTTAACATAGGAATTTTTTTTTTCAAACCGTCAAACCACTACGGACAAGACTGTTTATGCAGCTTTCAAAAGCGCGAGCGAAGTCGCTTTGTTATAGGGACGTCCATCCCTAACAACACAAATAACTTTGATTGCACTTTCCTTAAATGTTTTGCAAGAATCGTTATTTTGAACAATAATTTAAACAAATGCCAAAAGAAACTTGTCTAAAATGATACGTCACTTAGGCCCCTCCAACATGGCGTCGGTTGCCTCACTAAAACCAGCCAATGAGCAATCCAGCTAATATAGTAGAGATCGGTGCTTCCATGGAGCTATAACATTTTATAGCTCCATGGTGCTTCCAAGTGGGAACCGACGACGCAAACTTGGCAACGCAACGCAACATCGACGCTACTCAACTTTTGCATTGTTTGCCGATCTTCTTTGCGTTGTTTGCGATATTACACAGGAGTGACGCCCAGAGGGTTACCGGAGGAGGGCCCCGTTGAGGAGATTACCCCCCCCCCTATGGGGAGAAACCCCCCCCCCCTTTGGGGAGAAAAAACACAAGTTGTCAGGGAGAAAAACCATGTATAGGCCTATAAGTAGACTCTAAAATCGATGAAATAAGCATTTCAATCCCCTTAATTGTCATTTCGCCCCAGAACACTTTCTTTTCATCGAGGATCGGCCACACGCCAGAGACATTGGAACCCCCTCCCCGCCCCGCCGCCACTAATAACGTATTACCTTGATTAAAATATTTTTCTGAGTCTAGCACTAATTTTAGCTTTTTATTTTGGTTGTTTTAATGTACAGTATTTAATCATGTTATGGAAAAATATTATACCTACTTTTTAATACACCGTAAACATAAACAAAATTTAAATCCTAGATTTACAAATATGAAAATGTCATACAATTTGTAAATATTTAATTTGATATGCCAAATTAATAAACTAAAACATTACCTAGTAAAATGAGGCTTGGAGCAGCATTTAGATATGTTTATATTAATAATTAAATAAGTGTAAACTGTATATTTATTAATTGAACCTAGGCCTAACCTATATATAATTGTTGATTTATAATGATTATTTTTTTTTCCCGAGGGGAGGCCTATAACTACAGTTAAGCTAAAAAGAAAAAAATCAATTAAATTTAAAGCACTATTTGTACAGGTCTAACCCAGCCAGGCCTTCGAAAAGTAATACCCAGAACACAACCCGCATGGCCGGCGGAACCGGAGGGGGCGGGGCCGGGCCGGGGGCCGGGCCGGGGACCGGTGGGCTCGCCCCCCCCCCACTTTTTGGCAAAAAATATATAATGTCTGGAGATTTTTGTATGATCGGAAAGAAATTCAAGAAAAGAAAGAGGGAGGATGGAGAAGGATGGGAAAAAGAATGTTTATCCAGTCCCCGACCGAGTTACATTTTCTCGCAATTCACATTGGCGGATCTGGGGGAGGGGGTCATCGGTCCTGACCCCTCCCTTGGGCCAAAAAAGAGGAGAAAAAAAAAATCTAGACCTACCTTTTCAGGACCCGTGAGATGATTTTTATTTTTTTTTTACACTTAAGAATATTAGAATTTTGAAGAACATAAAAGTCATTAAAACACAATTCAAATGTCGAAAAAGCTCATTTCCCGCCATCTAGGAATCACAACTTTTCAGGGGGAGAACCCCCGGACCACCTTTTTTTGTTGGGATTTATCGATTCATGGGGAAAAGAATACGCATGCAACTACTCATTTGTTTATGTGTATACACACATAAAATAAAAAATGAGATAAATTAACCTGACCGTTTTCAAGAGGGGAAAACCTTGAATTTTGAAGAAATTAAAAAGTCATTTATAAATGACATTTCAGGAGTCAGGAAAGCTCATTTCCTGCCATCTAGAAATCGATATTTTTCCGGGGGAACCCGGATCCCCTTTTTCTTTGGTGTGCATTGATTCATTGAATCATTTTCAAGAGAGGGGAAACCTTGAATTTTGAATAACTTAAAAGTAATTAAAAGACACCTCAGAAGTCGGAAAACTAGTTTTTCAGCCTTCTATGAATCAAAAATTTTCCCGGGGGAGAATCAAGGTTCTCAATCAACATTGAGAACCTGAACCTCTCTTTTCTCTTTGGGTTCATTGATTAATTATAATAATTTTCAAGAGGGGAAACCTTGAATTTGAAGAACTTTAAAGTAATTAAAAGACACCTCAAAAGTCGAGAAAACAAATTTCCGCCTTCTAGGAACCAAAATTTTTACGGGGGAGAACCCCCAGACCCCCTTTCTTTTTGGGATTTATCGATTCATGGGAAAAAAATCGTATGCAACTACTCATTTTTTATTTTTTTTTAATGAATGCATACACATATAAGGCCTATTTACTGTAAAAGCAATGGGAAAAATTACCTGACCGTTTTCAAGAGGGGAAAACCTTGAATTTTGAAGAACTTGAAAGTAATTAAGACACTCAGAAGTCGAAAACGCTCATTTCCCGCCATCTAGGAATCAAAATTTTCCTGGGGGAGAAACCCCGGACCCCCTTTTCTTTGGAGCTTATCGATTCATTGAAAAAAGAATACGTAGGCCTAAGCAACTACTCATTTTTTTTATGTATGTTTACACACACATATCAGGCCTATTTACTGTAATAAGAATGAGAAAGTTTACCTGTCCGTTTTCAAGAGGGGGAAAACCTTGAATTTAGAAGAACAAAGTCATTAGACACCTAGCTCAAAAGTCGAGAAAAGTCATATCCCGCCATCTAGAAATCAACTTTTTTTCCGGGGGAGGACCCCGGACCCCCTAGATGTGATTCCAGATCTGCATGATTCATATTCCCATTCATCATATAAGTGGGCAATCCCCCCCCCCACTTTGAAAAACGTTCCGCCGGCCCTGACCCAGCCCTTACCCTACAATACATTGCCCTACGACAAATGATAATTTCATAACGGTTTTTGATATCTTCCAATGAAAATCATTGCGTTTACGAAGGGGCAAGTGGGAACCGTAACCATTTTGTTACGTTGCGTCACGTAAGGAGTGCAAATTCAACTTTCCGTAAAGAGGGGTATACAAAATTGCTGTAATAGTAGAGCGGCTAAGGTTGAATTTCAGGTAAAATCGTGCACTTCTGGAAGAAAGCATAAAACTTCCCACAGTGATACTATGACACCTAAAGATCATTAAAAAAAAATAGACCCCAAAAAATAACGCCTGCTAATGGCCACCATCTTGAAATCCAATATGGCCGCCAAAATATTTGATTTTAGCCAATATATTCATATCTACAGCACATGTCATTGCCAAATGAAGATCATTACCCATGTTTTCAATATCAG